TCATATGATCTTTTTCTCACTCTCCAAAATAAAGATGACCAATCAATCAACTAGCTAGATCCATTGTCATATACATGTCAATATTATTACTTTGGAACATAAATGTTTTCGAAATCCATTTTCGTATATTCAGTATAACATCTGTTGTTTGCCGCATACTGCTATGTATTAACCGCGTTGAAATATTTGACAATTAAAGAGAAAACAAAGAAATAAAGATGATTAGTGAGAAAGATGAAGAATTAGAGAAAGAGAATTTAGAGAGAGAAATGAGTTTTTATTAACTAAGAATGATAATGATTATACAACTTTGTTTATAACAGAGAGCTTAACAACACTAATCAAACACTAAGGCTACCCCCAACTGAGGAAGCTACATTTAGTCTCCGTCCAGATTATAGCCTTGCAATAAATTATTTTTTTAATGAACAGTGTCATGCCATATCTATATACAATTTCCAACTGAAGGAGGCTATTTTTAGCCTCTCTCAATAATTTATTATTTTAAGTTTGTTCTTTAATTTTATCGATTAATTGAATTAAACTACCATATTAAAATATGGTTTATGAACATATTTTGAGAGCCACTTGTCACTAAATGTTGTTTTGAGTTTCATATTGTTTAAGTTTCATGTTATTAAATAGGGAATTTTTATTTAAACCCATGCAACCTCTTTTTACACCCAACTTAAATTTTAAATGTTAATTGTATTTTTTTTATCCTATTGCATAATTACTATTAAACACAAAATAAAATTAATAATAAAACTTAAATTTATTAATAAACCTCACACTATAATTAAACTCTACCACTCCGTGTTTATCCTACATTTATTCCCGCTAAAACTTAATAGCTCTTATAGAGAAAAACAAGTTTTTTTATTGATGGATGGTGATTTGAACTTTTGAATCCTCCATGACTCGATTTATGAATTATTTGTTCATTTGATTTCAAATTTTTAGAGTTTAGAAGATGAGTATTTGGGTTTCAATTTTTTTCATCAATCCTGGTCTGCTACGATGCATGGACACGCCATATAAGTGTCGTAGTTGCTGCTCGATTCATGGATTTTTTGTAAATTGATCAACCCATTGTGCTCTAGTTGCTGCTCACTGTTGCAACGATGATGTTAAAAATATGTAACCTCTTTGTAGTCTGGATTTTCCATCTTCGTTTTGGTCGAAGAGCTTTGGGCTCTCCGTCTAAAACTTAACAATCATCCACCGTCCTCAAAATAGGTTCTCTAGTAGGAATGATTACTTTACAAAATCATGTAATATATTAATGAGTAAAGAAATTTTATAAATACTTGCTCAAGAGTTCCATTTACGAGTTTTAGAATAGGCTCTATGCTTGTGTTCAAAGTTGGCTGTGAGAGAGGATCAATTACCAATCCTGGATTTATTGTAACACTGTCAATTCCATTTTATTTTGCAAACTTCCAATAGCAGCTTCCTCCTCCAAGGTCTTTGAAATCATATACCAAAGCTGATGAAGGAAAAGTCTTAGTGAACACAACGAACATGCATTTAAAGCATAAAATATTTAACTTTTACACAACAAAAAATTAGTCATTTACGTGAAGAATGCTAACAACCATACCAAAGCCAACAAAAATATGAGCATCAATCGTGTCAGGACAAATAATTATTCCTTTCAATTAAGTTACATCCAAACATGACATAACAGGCTAAAGAACCCTAAAAGGGGCTCATATTCTAGCACATTAGAAGGTGAAATATCAACTAAGGCATCTTAGGCAAAGCATGATAAGCTAAAAGTGATTTCTGCAGGTATGAATATAAGAATAGGGGAGAAATCAGATAAAGATGAACACGTAAAAATATATAAAGTTGGTAGAGATATTTATGAACAAGATTGAGAAAGGGAAGAAAATTAAGTTGTTGGACTTGAGGAAAATAAAATGCTTTGATTTTGGATTTTTAATTTTTAATTTTTCAAATGGGTGTAAAAATAAATTTACATATTAAATTGGGTTTGTGAGGGTATTTAAGGTAGTAAATTTGGGGTTAAAGATATATTGATAGTTTAGTTAAAAACCAAATGGATGCAAAGAGTAAGTTGGGTGTAAAAAGAGGCTACATGAGTTTAAATAAAATTTCCCTACTAAATATTTTAATTTTACTTACATGTTAACAACTTAGAGATTAAAATGAGGTAAAATAGTATGGAATGGTGAAAAAGATGTGAGAAATGGTGTAAAAAGAGCTTAGGTATTTATAGGACAAAAATTAGAATTAAATTTTTTTTTTAAATTTCGTCTTAAAAAAAAAGAAAAAACTAAATGACGTCAGCTAGCACAGCTAGGCCCGACTTTCAGGGCTAGCTGGCTGACTATATTTGACCGGCCCTCTGGTCATTTGGCTATATTTTGGCCTAGCGGGTCCCAAATTTTTTTGGCCTAGCCCTCCATTAGAGATGAGTTTTGTATCAAAACGAGCTATATTTTGGCCTATAGCCATTTGATTGGCTCGGTTGGAGATGACCTAACAAACTTGCGGACTGTATTGCCGACTTGTACAACCATTATTTAACTAATCATCTAATGATGTGAAACACTTTATATACTGTATACGAACATTTTTTATAATGAAGTTTACATGAAAGCAAGGTGATGCATGCACAAATTAAGTGGTTTTTCCTTCATATTCTAACATATGATGCGATTTTTAGAGCGAAAATTATATTTCCATGATCTAACCTTTTGTACCTCTATCAAGATGTATCCAAGAAGTACACAAAAGAAGGGGAAAAAAAAGAAAAAAAGAAGAAGAAGAGAGAGCCTATTTATTGTTTGGCTGCGCTCCATTACTAAAGCATAAAAATAAAGGGAAGGAGTGCAAATAGATAAAATGGGAGTGGTATTATGGTATTACCGTCATCCACCATCAAAGAAATCGATCAAAAACGTCTGTGCAGGCAACAACGTAAGTTATATTCTGAAACTTACCAAACATCCACTTTGTGCCCTTTAAGGTTTATCACAAATGATCCCTGAAATTGACCGACATCGTCAAAATGGTCCCTGAAATTGAAAATCAATCAATATAGTCACTGCAAATAGGCGTTGCAAATCAATGTGGTCATTCCGTCACAATTTTGTTAAAAATTCTGTTAAGTATTGATGAGGCATATAAATGGGTCCCACAAGATTTATGAGTTTTTATCACAAATAGTCCTTGAAATTGACCCACATGTAGCCCTTGAAAATAGGTGTCGCAAATCAATATGATCTTTTTACCACAATTCTGTAAAAATTTTGTTATGTACTGATGTGAGTTTAATAATTAATTAAAAAAGTTGTCTAAATACCTTTTTGCACAATGATTTTTTTTTCTTATAGTATTGCCTATTCCGAAGAGTGATCCATTTCATAAATTCTCAAAGGCACAAGCCTTAACCAAGGCCTAAGATGGGGTGTGAAAATAGTTTTCAACCAAAAATAGACGCACCTCGGTTATAACCTCATTATCTCAAGGCAGACCTCGTCGTTCTTTACATCACTAGACCACCAGGAAAGCGCTGAACAAGCTCTCCAACATTAAGGTTGTGAGGATGTTGATCGCCTAAATGTTAATAGTGATGTCCCAGAAGTCATTGCCAACCAGCCAAGCCGTTACAAAAAGTGATATCAATCCAGGTTCAATTCGGTGAAAGGTGTCGAAGTGTGTAAAGATGAGTGTATTGGGATTTTTTTTTTTTAAGAATAGAGAGCGAAGGAAATAGAGAAATGTGGAATGGGATTGGAAGTGATTGCAGGACTGAGTTTTTGGGTTGACAACTTTTTTATTAACTATTAAATTATTAAGCCTATTTGTAATTTTTTAAATTTAACAAGACTTGTGTGACCCATTTATGTGTTATATCAACACATAACAGAATTTTTGACAAAATTGTAACGGAATGACTACATTGATTTAAGACACTTACTTGAGGGATTACATTGATCATTTTCAATTTCAAGGAGCATTTTGATGTCGTGGGTCAATTCCAGAGACCATTTTGATGTCGCAGGTCAATTTCAAGGATTATTTGTGAGAAAAAAAGATTTATGGGGCCCATTTAAGTGCCACATCAACCCTTAACAAAATTTTTAACAAAAATATGACAGAATAACCATATTAATTTGCGACACTTATTTTTAGGAACTACTTTAATTAATTTTCAATTTCATGAACCATCTTGAAGGTCAACTTTATGACCATTTGTGATAAAAATTATAATCTAAATTGAATTATTTTCTCCACGTGCTTGAGTACCAAAAAATAAATACTTGACTTTTCGCTTGTAAAGAGTTGCTTTTCCTAAAGCCTAAAGTACCAAAACACAAAATATATAAATAATATAATACTTTCCCGGAACTTTTGGTAAAATGAAACGTACTTTTTTACCAAAAACAATTGCGCCAAAACGCCACTACTGCTCATGAAAGGAATAATTCATAGTAACAAAAGAAGAAAGAAAATTGCTCTGATAAAATGATTTGTTCATGATATGCGTACATGATCTTATTATATATGGTGGCCCGTGACCAATGAGTAAAGAACTGATGAACCTTGAACCAAAAGATAAGTAACTGCCTCCGATCCCCACCCCTCATTCCATGACAAAATCTCAACTTCCACATACAAACAATCCCCTGGCCGGCTAACTTCACATGCCACCAAAACGCAACTCATACACTAAAGACACACCACACCATCTCTCTCTCTCTCTCTCTCTCTCTCTCTCTCTCTCTCTCTTCTGCTCCTTCTATATGATATATCAGCTAGCCTTCTCTCTCTGTCTGTCTTACCTGAACAAGAAAAAAGCAGCAAAAAGGAGATTTGAAAAGGGATTAGACCCTTTTGTAGCTTGAAAAGGTTTGTTGAATCAGAACCGCTTCTATTACCTTATAGCACTACCTAGCACTACCTAGCTTTTTCTGATATATATATATATATATATATATATATATATATCTATCTATATCTATCTATCTATCTATCTATCTATCCATCTCTTCTGATAATACAGCAGAAGAAAAAATAATACTGTTAGGTTCAGTCTCTTTTCGCCCAATTTTGACTTCCAATTACATTTTTTTTCATTGTTTGGGGCTGAGAGTTAACTCCTCCTGATCAGTCCCTTTTCCTCACCACCCCCACCCCCTTTCCCCCGCTTTGTCAAGAACCGTAAATATTATATATCTATTATTTTTCCCTCCGTTCAGAAAAAAGCTGAACTCTCTATTTTGTTCCCATTCATAATATTTGCAGAACAATTCTCCCAACCCTACTAAATTTTTTTAAGTTTCCCAATGCCAAAGCTACCCACTACCAGTCTGGTCTCTTTCCTTCTGAACTCGTCTCAGTAAGTCTATCTTTTTTCTTAAGCAATAGTTTTCTACCTTTTTCTGAATTAATTTCCCTTCTCTTTTCTCTCCCAATGATGCAATTTACTGATACACCACCACCAACCTTTCACCAAATTATCACCACACCCTATTCCAATAACCTCCCAATAATGATGAACAAAAACCAAACCTACCGCACGCGCCTGTGGCCTGGCTTTCCGACCTCTAAGTCCCTAGGAACAAACTTTGGCGACGCCAACTGCATGGAGCAGCTGCTCGTCCACTGCGCTAAAGCCATCGAAACCAACGACGCCACCCTAGCCCAGCAGATCCTCTGGGTCCTCAACAACATCGCCCCCCAAGACGGCGACTCCAACCAGCGCCTCACCTGCGCGTTTCTCCGAGCCCTCATTGCCCGCGCAGCCCGAATCGGAAGCTGTAAGGTCCTCGCCGCCATGGCCAACTCCCAAGCCAACTTCACCATCCACACTCACAAGTTCTCCGTCGTTGAGCTCGCCTCCTTCATCGACCTGACACCGTGGCACAGGTTCGGATTCACCGCCGCAAATGCAGCCATTCTAGAAGCTGTTGAAGGGTATTCTGTAGTTCACATTGTTGACCTGAGCTTGACGCACTGCATGCAAATCCCAACTCTGGTCGACGCCATTGCCAGCCGTCAGGACGGTAATGTGAGTCCTCCATTGCTGAAGCTCACTGTGGCGGGTACCATGGAGGACGTCCCTCCAATGCTGGACCTGTCATACGAGGAACTGGGTTCCAAGTTGGTTAATTTTGCAAGGTCAAGAAACATCATTTTAGAGTTTAGGGTCATCCCGTCAAGTTACACTGATGGGTTTGCCAACCTAATCCAACAACTCCGCGTACAAAATTTAGTATATGCGGAGAGTGGTGAGGCGCTTGTAGTGAATTGCCACATGATGCTTCACTACATTTCTGAAGAGGCATTGACACTTCCAGCAATCAATCCGAATCCAATCAGTAGTGGTTCGACTAGCTCTTACGCTTTTGATGTAGCTTCGTCCTCTTTGAGTTCGTCGCTAAGGACAATGTTTCTGAAAGAGCTTCGGGGTTTGGACCCGACGATTGTGGTTTTGGTGGACGAAGATGTGGATTTGACATCGAATAATCCAGTGTGTAGATTGAGGTCGGCCTTCAATTACCTGTGGATACCTTATGACACCTTGGACACATTTTTGCCGCGGGGAAGCAAGCAGAGGCAGTGGTACGAGGCGGATGTGTGTTGGAAGATTGAGAACGTGATAGCGTACGATGGCTTTCAGAGGGTGGAGAGGCTGGAGCAGAAATGCAGGTGGGTGCAGCGAATGCGAAATGCCAACTTTCGAAGCGTTTCATTTGGGGAAGATGCGGTTTCGGAAGTGAAGGCCATGCTTGATGAACATGCAGCTGGTTGGGGATTGAAGAGAGAAGAAGAAGATGTTGTGCTTACATGGAAAGGACACAATGTTGTGTTTGCCACAGCCTGGATGCCTGCTTAAAGTTGAAATTTCTCAAGAAAATGATCTGACAATAAGTTAATTAATATAGAATCTCCTTTTTTTTTCTTTTTTTTTTCTTCTTTCTTAATCTGTTATTTGGTAGTAGCTATCTGATAAATTAGTTAATGATCACATTTTACTAATTTTTACTAGTAGGTGTGAGCTTAAATTTTAATTAATGTGAGGTTTGTGTCATATTTGGTATAATTTTGAACCATGCATTTGTGCATATTCTTCTGTGGTCTGCAGTTACCTAACATATTAATCTGCCTATTCTTTTTTAGCAAAGTCTTTATTTAAAGCGCAATGTTAGGGAGACTACATTATGATATGAAAGTTGATGATTGAATTATTACTTAAGCGTTGACTAACATATTTATTTATTATTTGTAACGCATCCTTTAGTTTGCAAATTTGATCTACAAATTTAACCCCCTAACATTACCCTTATTTAAATTTCCTTTTACTCTGTTGTGGTTTTAACTTTGTTGCTAGTTTAAATTTTACAGAAACTTTGACATGAATGTACCCATTGCCCAAGAAATCCCTACGCAAAGTAATTAATGGGTGATTCAAGAAACTATTTTATTATGATTGGAAATGTTCCTATTATAAACTATTTAAAGATTATTTTTATAAAAAAAATAAAAATAAAATATGATATAGTTTACATCAGATTAGGGCTAGAAAATTTTCCTGAAAATTCCAAATTAAACCAAAAAAATCCCAATTCCATATCGAAAAATTTCCAAACCGATAATACCGAAATTTTTGGGATCTATACCGAACCGATCCTGAACTTTTCGGTACGAAAATCAGGATTACATATTCAATGGTTCGAGAATCCTGAACTGAATTGAATATATATATATATATATATATATATATATATTTATTTTGGTTGCACGCATGTTGAATGTTGAATTTAAGTATGAAATAGAAGTATGAAATTAAGTAATTTGGTACTTTGGAACGTCAATTTGACTTGGTAAGAATGATTTGGTATTTCAATTGGTAAGAAATTTCAAATTGGTAATATGCAAAAAAATTAAATTTCAATTGATATGAAATTAGGCAACAAACTTTTAAGCCAAAGACCCAAAATTTAGGCGACAACCCCAAAATTTCAAATTTATGCCCAAAAGCCCAAAACCCAAAACGCAATCTCAATCCATCCCGAAATACAAAAAACATTTCAAGAATCCCTAAAATTGAGAATACCGAAATTTCGGTTCGGGATTGGTCTTCAAAATCCTGTCCCAAACATTTTTGGTTTGCATTCAAGATCCCGTTTTCGATTTGGGATCCCTTACTGAACCACCCCTACATCAGACTGTATAAAAACATATTGTCATAATCAATATAAAAGTATTACAAATCTATCTAGTTGCTACATTAATTAACTAAATGATTCTAGTTTTAATTGATCTTTTACAGAGATAAATTTTACATAGTATTTTATAATATGAATAGTTCTAATCATAAACACAAACTTCTATAAGACCAAAGATAATACTTGTCTAATAAGGCCATATATCTTTCGATATTTTCTTCATGACCTAACAGTTTTGGTTTGTATTCCTCCAAAAAAAAAAAAAAACAGTTTTGGTTTGTATATACTGGATCGCTTTGAAATTGGATAAATATATAATCATGAGTATCATTATTATAATATTAAATCCACCAGAGGATCGACAAAAGAATCAAATAGTTTACGTACTAGTTTTACATCTGTAAGTTTCATTATTTTCTTACTCTCTTAATCTCGGAGAGAGTCCTGGCAGCCAAATTTTACATGCATCGATGCGACAAAGGAATGGTCATAGTCGACGACAATGACCTCATTCAGATGATCCTTTTCTCACTCTCCAAAATAAAGATGACCAATCAATCAACTAGCTAGATCCATTGTCATACACATTGGGGGTGGGCAAACTGGTCCTGGACCTACGGGTCAGGGTAAGTACATGCGATTCGGGGCGGGTCCAAAAATTAAAAATACAAAACGGGGCGGGCGGGTCGGTTCCTAGTAAATAATGGGGCTGGCCGGTTCTAAAACTTGGAGAAAACGGGATCCCGGCCCGGACCATTAATTGCCTAAATCTCTACCGTCTATCTATCCATCACCCTCCCTCTCTTATTTTCACCCTAACTCTCAGATGCAATTCACTCTCTCAAACTTTTCCCTCACCCTCTCTCTCTATCCCGACTCTGAGTCTCATCCGACACCACTCCGAGTCTCCTCCCTCGATCTCTCATCCTTGAAACTCCTTTCCTCTCTTGTCTCAGACCTCAATCTCGAGCCCAAGCTTCCATCTCTGTACATCGACTCTCCACACCTCCCACCCGTAGTGACTGAGTCGACCTCGACTGTGTCGACATCACAACAGCCAACCACCATCACCATCATGGCATCCTCTCCTGACTCTCCATCGTGGCATCCCTAGGTAATTTATGAATTAGGGTTTCTGATTTAGGAATTTAGGGTTTTTACATAAGCTTTTCGATTGATTAGGGTTTCTGACTTCGTGGGTTTCTGATTTTGTAATGGCAAAGGTGGGATCCGTGGAAGACAACGTCTCTTGTTCAATTTGTGTGTCAGGGTCAATGGCTCCAACCAAAGGTGGTGGTGTGGCTGGGCTCAAGCACGAATGTAGACTCAACGAGGTTGTCCCAGCCTCCTACTTCTCTTATTCTCGGCATCTAATTTATGTTTTATTTTGAATTTGAATTTGGGGATTTAGGAATTAGGAATTCAGTTCATTTGCTTGAAAAAAATCATTAAAATGTTGGGGATTTAGCTTTAATTAAGGATTCCGTTTTATTTTATTTTTTGATGAATTCGAAATTGTAATTGAAGATTTTTATTTATTTATTAATTTGTTCTATTTGGGGATTTAGGTTGGCGTTGGGGCGTGAGAAATGCTTGAAAAATGTTTGATCCCCTGCATAACCCAAATCACAAAATTTTCAGAAGATCAGAAAAATGTTTAATCTATGTGGTTTGTTGGTCGGTGAGATGTGGCAAGCGGACTTTGCGATCGAAAACAAGGGGTCGCGGGTTAGTGGCAATATGCCCAATCGAAAAGAAAAAAAAAATAGTTGGACTCGTGGACCCGTCTCGAACCGGCCTGTTTGAAAAGGGCTGGGTTAGGTCCAGTTCCCAAATTCAAAATACCTCTACCCAGCCCGGCCTGCCCCGTTACATTTTAAACGGGTAGGGCCAGGTTCCTTCAAATTTGGGCCCGGCCCTGCCCATGCCCACCCCTAATACACATGTCAGTATTATACTTTGGACCAATGATTTTTTTTCGAAATCCATTTTCGTATATTCAGTATAACATCCGTTGTTTGCCGCATACATATGTAATTACTGTTATATATTAACCGCGTAGAAATATTTGAAAATTAAAGAGAAAACAAATAAGTAAAGATGAATAGTGAGAAAATGATGAATTAGAGCCTAACAATTGAATGATAATGATTATACAACTTTGTTTATTGGGTAAATTACACTTTACCACCTTAGATTTGTGATCGATTTCAATTTCTTATAATATCTTTTAAATATTTCAATTTCACATCTCAAATACTATTTTATTTCAATATAATACATCAATTACATTTTTCATCCATTGATTCTTTAAAAGCTGACATGGCTACCACATTTGTACCATGTGGCTGCCAAATTTATGCCATGTGGCAATTTTTTTTTTATTATTACCCTATTGGAAAAAAAAAAAAATTGAAAACCCAGAAACCAATAATCTTTATCCGCTGCCTCCCTCCCTCCCTGCACCTTTCATCCTTCCGTCTCCACGCACATTCCTCCCTCGCTGCACCCTTTATTCCTTCCGGTGAGGTAGTCGATGATTATATCAAGAAATTCAATTTCTGATTTGCTTACTTGGTTCTGTTTCCTCGCCACCGCCGTTCAATTTATTCATTGAACAGATGGTGTGCGTTGAATCTTCTCGAGTCTCCCTTTCCATCGTTGCAACCCCTTTTGGTTTCTTCTGGCTCCGTACGGCGTCGCATTGCCTCTGTTTGCCTCGGTTTAGAGTTGACAACCATCGGGAAATGAAACGGCGTGGGGAGGACCATTGTAAGGCCATGAATCCGTCGTTGTCGTTGCCTTCTGGGAGGCGGGGTAGGTGTCCAACCATATTGAAGTCTCCAGAGCAATCGTAGCCGTTGGTTTCGGATCTGATTCTTCATCAACAAGAATGTCGGCGATACGGATATGGCAGGTCTTGGAGTAACGGAAAGGGGAGAAAATGTTTAGGATTTTAAAGAAGGGAGGAGGAACTCGATGGAGTCGGAGGAGGAGATCTTTCCGGTGAGGTAATCGAGGAGGGGCTTGCGGTCGGGGAAAGTGACGAAGAGGGAAAAGTTGAGGTTTTGGTAGTGAAGGGAAGGGATGAAGGTTGGGGAGGTGAAGAGGGAGGAGAGGGAGAAGGTGGGGGGGGGGGTTACAGGGGAAGATGGGGTTTTGGGTTGGTTTTTTTTTTTGTTTTTTAATTAATTATTTTTATATGAATAAATTTTTTTTTGCCACGTGGCACAAATTTGGCAGCCACGTCAACTCTTAATGAATTAGTGGATGGAAAATGTAATGAATGTATTATATTGAAATAAAAGAGTACTTGAGGTATGAAATTGAAATGTTTTAAAGATGTTGAAAGAAATTGAAATCGACCCCAAACCTGAGGTGGTAAAGTGTAATTTACCCTTGTTTATAACAAAGAGCTTAACAATGCTAATCAAACACTAAGGCCGCCCCAACCGAAGGGGCTATGTTTAGCCCCCATCAAGATTATAGTCTTGCAAGAAATTATTTTTTTAATAAATAGTGCCAAGCCATATCTATATACAATTTCCAACCGAAGGAGGCTATTTTTAGCCCACTTCAATAATTTATTATTTTAAGTTTGTTCTTTAATTTTAACGGTTAATTGAATTAAAGTACCATATTAAAATAAGATTTCCGATTTTGTGGCCCACTGGTCGCTAAATGTTGTTTTAAGTTTCATATTATTTAAGTTTTATGTTATTAAATATTTTAATTTTACTTACATGTTAACAACTTAGACATTAAAATGAGGTAAGATAGCATGGAAGGGTGAAAAAGATGTGAGAAATTGTGTAGAAATGACTTACATATTTATAGGAAAAAAATTAGAATTTTTAATTTT